GAGACTGCCTCTTGTCAGCTGATATTGTTATATTGAGAATTTGGCCGATCCTATAGGTAACGTACTTATGGTAGGAGACAGACGGAACATCTTACACTGCCCATTTGCAAATTTTCGATGCTATTGAGGCGGTTGAGAGGGCAAAGCCTGGCCCTTCCCCTGAATAATCTCATAAATCGGAGGACTGTTTGGAACATTTTGAAGGATTAAGTCATTACTTGCAATGGACCCTTCGACGACATGTCCTCTTATTTCCGTTATTAGGATATTATCACATTCCAGCCTGGGCGTTATAATCTCTAACCAGCAGATGTTGTGTCGAAGGATACCTGAGTAGTGCTTGCTGGATTCTCTAGAGCTTCCATAATATCAGCTGTTGGCGCGATGTATATACTGGTTATGCAGATACTGAGGTCTATAGCTTTTTCAGCGGTGGTGAGAGTCCATAGATAGAAATACTGTGTTAGGAACCTGTTTTTGCCAGCAGATTGTTTCGACTGTTGGGTTCTCTTCACCATCGGACTGTATAACGTCTATGTTAATGGCAGTTCTTCTACCCTGTTTAGGCGACAGTAAGGTTTCTGCGTGAGGATGAAGTCCATTTCACGTTCCAGGGTATATTGTACGAGCTGGGCAGTAGCCGCTCTTGCCCTTCGAAGATTGATTTGCAAAACACGAATTTTATCTTGTTGAGCTATGTGAGCATTGATATCACCGTCCGTGTCCTATTCCGTACCAGAGGAACTCCTGTGGACTAGTAGACTTCGGTTGATGATTTTTGCCCTTTGGCTAGTACCCGGTACTGTTGCGAAATTGTTTGGCAATACGTTGGTATTGTGGGCATCTAGGGTTGTAGGCTTTTTTGCGTGTCTAAAGTCATGGTTTCTGGTCATGCTCGTAGTTTGCAGTTCCGAGTCATTGCGAAAAGTCGCAACACAGCCTTCAAGTAGATCTAGTTACAATGCATGCTAACAAAGACTAGATCCTACAACATAAATGCGCGCCTTTATGTACTGTATTTGGGGGGGGAGAGGAAGAAAAATAAAATATATGCCTGTATATATATTAGAACCTAATTCACAAAGCCATGAAAGAAATGAAATTCAGATCCAGTAAAATCCCAAAATTTCTCTATAAAAATGCAAAAAATTATCAACTAAATGTTTTTGAACCGGAAAAAGCTTAAAAGCTACAGAAATATATAAAATAGGAAGAGAAATACAGTTAAAATATGACTTAACATTATCAAGTAGAGGTAAATATTGAATTAAATCCCCTCTCTTGATAACGTTGAATCATATTTTAATTGTGCATCTCTTCCTATTTTATGTATTTTTATATATTTCTGTTGTTTTCCGGAGTTTTCCTGGTTTGAAAGTGCTTAGTTGATATTTTTTTATATTTTTATTGGCAAATTTTGAGATTTTGCTGGTTTTCAATTTCATGTCTTTGTGAATTTGAGTCTAAATTTCTTACTATTTTGTCTATCATTGATTGAGTTTCCAGCAGCATATTGCACAGAAATAACATTGGGATATTTTTGCTTCAAAAAACTTTGTGATACTGATATATATATATATGAAAATGTATTTTCTCATACATTATTTGTGTTGTGCAGCCGGGACAACAGGAATGAGACAAATTTTGAAATATAAAGTGATAGGTTTATTTTAGCATCCATCTCACAAGCGTTCCCCCTGTACCTTAAGTAGAAGCCCTATTTATAGATATGATTTATATATAGATCTTTACATTATTTAAAACATTTTTGTAATCCGAAGTACATGTCTACGAACAATGGTTACGATAATTAAGGCCGGGTAAGGACTTCTGTAGACATACTGTAAACTGTATGTGCACAGTTTTGTACTTATTAAAAGTAACTATTTCAAATTATAATAAGATAATTCTTGCGACAATATTTAATTATAGCTTCATATATTTTGAAAAATAAATATATATAATGATTCACAATTTTGAAATGAAAATCGCTAAAAATATCCTTTTAGTGATTTTAAATAGCATAATAATCCAAGACAACTCTTAATTTATGTTTATAATCCTAAGTAGATTGTAACATTAATATAAAATGAACATAATTTTTCCTGCGGATATCATTTGTATTTTTTAAAACCATCCAAACATAGTTTCACCGCTCGTTGGAATTCTTTTAAAAACAATCGTATCTTTACAATAGCATTTTAAAACCGATTATATCTCTACAGTATACATAATTTTAAAAGAAGTATATATAATTCTACAGTACAGTATGCATTTATTACAGTATATATAATTTTAAAAATGCAATTTGAGTTTTAAAATTAATGAAGTAACACAGTAACTTAAGAATGATTTCAAAGTTAACGATATTTAATGATTCATTTTTTTTAAACTTTACGTTTAACCCGTGTCTTTAATTAACTCAATAGGCTTCCATGTATTAAATTTCGCGACTATGATAAGGGTTTGCCCCCAGTTATTATTCACAGCAATAAACAAGTTTTCCGTTTCAGGTCTAACTGAAACTGAATGACCTCTGCAAACTAAACATGGGTACAAGAAGACAAATCTCAAATCAAGCGCCTCCGTTCATTGGCAAATTTTACACAAAATATAGATTCAAAGATTAATAACAAGGTACATTTCCTTTTCACCCTCGCTCAGTCTTCCGATGCTATTCAATGTGAGTCATGCTGCAAAATATTGTCAGCAATTGCGTCACCATCTATGCTTACTTAGTAGACTTCAGAAAACTTACTATGGGCCAGTAGGAGTACAGGAAATTAATGGGAGACAGAGTAAAGATTTCCTGATATCAGGAGGATGATATTTTCTACGCAAGTTTAGTCTACGTAACTCGTTAGAGCAAGTGTAAATTAACTTCAGCATGCTACTTCCAATCATAAATTTTAATGTTAGAAAATAATACATGCACTACTCTGTGACCTCATCTCTTCTGAGAATAAATGTTATATATTAATTCTTCTTTTAATTTAAGTTGATTGTTTATAACAAAAAACTTGTTTTCATATTTATTCGTGTATTCCAGAGTTGAAAGTTAAAATCATAATTTATTTCTTAAAATGAATTTCTAAATTTTCCCAGCTAATTAACCGACTCTTTTGTTTACCCGAGGCAAATACTTCACTTACCTCACCTTTGTCCCCGCTCTGACTGAAGGCATCTATTATCAAGCTCCATGTGCCTTTATACATAAAACTGAATTTTAATCTTAATTTATATTCAGAATAAATATTTCATCTTCAAGAATGTTTTGGTGACAAATATAAATGATTTGCATTCATACAGATGTTAACGAATCAAAAATTCTTAACCTGGCAAATTTTATGTAGTTATTTACTTACCTTTAATTTATAAAATCCTCCCAAGCTGCTGAATCATAACTGTTGCAAGTATTTAGTTATTTCTTAGAGAAACTTTAGAATTAATGCTGCTTAGCATTCAAAATATAAACTATCGTGTTGCACAAACCTAGTCATCTTTCTGCTACATCTTTAACGACCCCATGTTACTATTTCTTACTCTTGGAGGTGAACAACTCCTTCATATTTCAACTTCCTGGAAGTCGTTGCAATGCCGCCGCCGAAAGATGTGGAATTGAAATAAGTAATAATCCGATAGTGTAAGATTCGGACCGTATATAAATGTGCTAGCCATTAAAACTACAAAAGCAGATTCGGGAAAATTCGATAATTTCTTTCAACATCAGCTCGATTTTATCAAGTTCATGAAGTCTTTTTCTGGATCACGCGAATAGTATGAGGTTTAGAGTTATTTTGTAGGAAATGCGCTTCCTATTCACTGTTGCCAGGTGCTCCTGTTTCAAAATGGAATACTTACTCTCCAGTTGTTCCAAGTCAAAGTTGACTAAAGTCAAAGTTAACGCTAATTAGCGTTCACAGTACGATCATGTGGGATGATTCCGCAGTAGACTGCCTCCTAGAATTTCCACCAGATACAAAGCATCATGCTACGTTCGAAGCAGCAGTGCTTCTTCAGTCCGGTTCAAGAAGCTGGTTTGATTTTAAAGGCTCTTCTTTTTGCGTTTATGAAAACAGATCCACTTCTTATCGCATTCTATTGTATATCACATAGGTTTTCTATGAGATTTCTACGCATTTTTCATCCACTGTTTGCGTGAAATTTACGTCATTTCATGAGGTATGGTAAGTTTAAGTACGGAACAAAATTATTATTTGAGCTTTGTAGTTCTGATATTTGACTTCATTATTCAGCTCCCTCCATTGTTACAGCTGTTTTAGATACTTTGTTCTTTTCTCTACTATCTATTCTCATCCTAAAACAATTCAAATAATAATTTTGTTCCATACTTGTATTATGCGGCAGCTCCTATTGACATTGCAGATGCCGGGAAAGTGCAAACTATGGTAATCTGTTATACACACGGGTCCTTTCATGATCTCTAAGTTATAATCACCGGATTCGGTGATCTCTAAGTTATAATCACGGCTTGGAATCCTATGCCAGAATCTACGATTTGTAGACTACCAGACGTTGGCTGATTGTTGAAGTTCCTGTCGCTTGAATGAATTTTTTTAACCATTTGGTTGCGGTTTTTGCCATGGGCTAAGGAACCTCTCTCTCTCTCATGCCAAATGTTTTCATGCTGCTTATACAGCCTAAACTTGTTGCTCATAAAACACATTTCGTACTCGTATAGCAAAAGTTCTTTATCTTGATTGTTGTGACTGGATTTGGGTTAGGTGTCTGAATCATAGAAGGGACGAAGAAATTAAAAACGATTCAGATGAAATAAAGCATAATTCTTTAATGTTCAGTTTTCCTTACAGATTATATATTTGATACATTTGCCACTGAACGTGCTTTTATTCATTGTAAAACTTTTAATTAAACCTAATAATATTTTATGCAACTATCCATGCGTTCAGTTAAGAATATTGTGTACGTAATTTATTTTATTGTCTGCATATTATGCAAAAACGATTTTTACTCCTTCAAAGATTTTCACAACAATATTTATTGAATTCCACTTGCAATAATTACAGTAATGACATTTTCTTTTAAAATGAACTAATTTAGCACTTTTACAGGTAACAACAGGAATTCAAAAGGTGGTACGACGACAGATAAATGACGAATAAAGATACAGGCATTCATTTTTTGTTCAAATAAATGATGACATATCAGAAACAATGACATTCAAAATATTTGACCAGATGTCTTATACTTTCTTGCAGATGAAACACTTCAGGCAGGAGATATTCGCTTGCACAGCCGCAACATTTGAAAAAATAAGATCACATGCATCTCTTTCACATCAGGATAAAAATCATCCATGTACTTTTGATGAATGACTTCAAATTTGTTATAAAACAAAAAGGGGATGTAGAAAATATTTTGAATACGATACACAATGTCGGCCTGGAATTATAGTATTTGCAAAACATTTAGGAACGAAAAACGAAATAATTAAAAAAAATATCGAAAGAAAAACGTTTAATTTATTTATGATTTGACAAAGCAAAAGAAGAGGAACGCTTTTATTCAGTGGTCTTCGTTACACATATCGAGAGAAACTACTACTTTACTAATTTTTCCTAATGCATCAAGTAATTAATGTAACAAAAATGTACTTTTAGTAGTTTGGCGTGATTTAATATCTGAAACAAAGAAAGAAACAGTGTCTAGCTAACTAACAGTACCAAAAATAACTTAATAGAACCTAAACTGCAAATTAATTAAAAACATCTACAGAATGTTCGTTAAATACACAGTGTCACGTCACTGAAAAACTCCATTGAAGACGAGACTTCTGCTTGCATTGAGCGATTAGTTTTACTTTCACTTCAACTTCTTGAGGATAAAAAAGATACGTTTCAATGAAGCAGCAAACATTCTGAATTTGAAGTTGCTCTAATTGCTACTAGAGTTAATTAATAGGGGGGGGAAAGCTACTTTTGATGCTGACTTCATGAAAAAGCAACGTCATTTTCTTTCTATATTTTTAGATGTTTCGCCGAACAAGCGCTGCATACAACGTGTACTTACAATAGTCATTTTCCAGTGCTATATAAATTGTAAATATTTTTAGATTCTTTTATTTCGCAAAAAATGGTTTGCTTAATTAAATACATGGCAAGTGGTATTTTTCCTTCAAATACAAAATGTACTTGCATCACACAGAATGATTTTTAATTCTGCAATGAAGAAAGTATTTGCAGCATAAACATTCCAACAATGATGCCACCTTAAGGCCCATTTATGAAGCCCGAATTTAGCAACATATATTTCATATATGCTTCTGAAACTTATGAATAAGATTCATATCTATGACTTTCATTTTAACTGAACGTATCAAATCTTGTGAAAGAAGATAGTGATAAAAATTTTAGAACATGTTTTACAGTCGCTTAGTAGACCAGTTTCTATTAGTGAATAATGGATATGCACAGATAAAGGATGAAATCAAAATCGTTTCGTTTTGACGCGCCATATCTTGATCAGTTTGGCGGCGAACAACAATGAGAATATGTGAACCTGAAAGGCAATCATAATAAAGCCATACCACCATACTGCGACCGGGAATCCTTGCCACATTTCAATATCTGCTTCTCCTTTTTTTTCTGCATATTCCCAAACATCATTGAAGAAGTAGATGGCTGCTCCAAGCAGAGGGCATAGGGCGAATACGACGGTTCCCGCAGAGTATGTGTTAAGAGATGAAAGTCTGTTACGGGACAAGGCCCTTAGGCCTATAAAGCCAAATAATATGCTTAATGTCCAAAGATATTCCCAAGGCAAAGGTTTCGGGATGTAGAGCTCTTCTAATTCTAATATGAACACGTCCATTTTGTCCAGGATGTCTTCGGAAAGTTTCGCACACATGACTAGGAACAGTAGGAAATGCAGGAATATGCAGAACCGTAGCCGGCTCTTGTATAAAGCACTGAAAAGAAATAATAAAAGAAATCACTTTCATATGAAATAAAAGAAAAGATTCGTTATCTAATTAAGAAATATGAAAGAAGTAGTATAAAAGCGCCTGTTCATTGACAAAATTGCTCAGACATTCCCAGGCACACTGCAACCATGACCCGCGCTGCTTCAAGTGTAGACTTGGACATTTTTCTTATCAGTGTGAAAAACCCAAAGATGTCACACCTAAGTGTGACAATTGCTCAAGCCCACATACTTCAAATTTTCGAGGATGCGAGATGTTCCTTGGAAAAGGAGAATCTGATCCAGTCAAAACATATGAAGAAAGATTTGTTGTAGTAAGCAAATCCTATGCTGCAACCCTTTCCCCCACCATTACCCTTAAACCTCAAACAGATGAAATCGCAGAGGCCAAGAAATTGATTGAAAATCTTCAATCCCTTGTTTTGCTCTTCAAAAGCTCAGGCATAGAAGAACTTGCAAGTAATTTCGAAAAGAAACAGGGTGCTTTCACGCCTGAATCAGTCAAACGAATTCCAACCAATTATGGATAAGAGCGACAAAACTGCTCTACCAACCAGAAACATGGTGTGGAACGCTTGCTGCTAATTACAAACAGATTACAGACTTTTGCAAATCCCACACTAAAAATCAAAATTATGAACTATTTTTGCTATCGATGTGATAGAATTCGGCATAGAGGTGGTGGCGTAGCTATCCACGTCAAAAGAACTTTACAATCTTGCCTTATTTCAACTGACAATTCCAAAGGCTTTGAGTTAGTAGTGGCTTCAGTTATCCTTCCCAAGTTTAGAAGCACTTTCTTCAGTATGGTTTACAACCTTCCTGACAATAGACTAACCAAGAAAATACTCTTTGACCTGATACCGGACAATTCAGGTACGATCCTGGCTGGCAATCTAAACGCCAAACATGCAGAATGGCGATGCCGGAGGACTATCTTCAATGGAAAAATTCTTCATCAATTCATTCAAAATCATTCTGTGGCACTCCATGCTCGTGAAGAACCTATATACCGGCCCAACAGCATCCTTCAACGCCCGTATATCCTGGATCTCATCCTCTCAAATACTTCTATCCCAATGACAGGGGACACAAAAATTGAACTATGTTCTGATCCCATTCCGATTCTTGCTGCACTGGAAGCACCTCAACCTATTTCCAGAATTTCCGCTACATCACCGACTGGAGGTTATTTCACAACATTCTTGCCACCAACCCTTCAAAAATCTCAAAATTCAGCACTTCCGACCAAATCGACAAAGCAGTGCACGATTTCATGGACTGCATTACGCAAGCTCACAATGAAGCTACCAAAACAATTATCTTTAAACATAAATTCACCACACTTCCCTTGGAAATCAGAGAAACCGCAGAATTAAAAAATCAACTCCGAGAAACTTGGCAGCGTAGCTAAAACCCCAAGATTAAAAAAGAAATCAACAGACTTAATAGAGTGATCAAGAAACTCATCGATAAGCACAGAATCGAAAGCTGGGGAAATAAAATCTCCAACCTCGCTAATAAATGCATTGCACTAACATCTTCCGGGGAGGTAACAAATATTGTGAAACAACCCAAGCTCAAAAAAACTGCCGGTATCGACAAAATAACTGTTACAGCATTAGCTGCACCTACGCACCTCAGCCCTCTAGTGGCATTTTCTGTATATACTTAGGAGAATAGTAAAATTATTCATTAGTGGAATACAGTTCATAAAATAACAAATGCAATGATAAAAAAAACCTCTCAATAAACTGCATTTCCAAACTCACCAGCGTTCTCAACGCCTGTCTGGCACAAGTGTACTTTCCCACCCCATGGAAAACGGCTATGATCACCATGCTGCCAAAACCGAAAAAAGATGCGTCCAAACCCCCGCCCCATCAGTCTCTTATCTGGTCTCGGAAAAATTTACGAAAAAAATCATTTTTCACAGACGTTAACCTTTTTTAGAGCTACTCCCAGACGAACAGCTTGGCTTTCGCCGTAACCTGTGCACTACGAAATAACTGGTCGGGAGTTTAGAATATGCAGGCTCTGCAATTCATAATAAAAGATGTGTGGCACTTCTACTCGATGTCTCAAAAGCTTTTGATAATGTATTTTATGGCATTACGGATTAATTTACAAATTAATACAGCTGATACTGATCGTGACATTATTAGGCTCATTTAGTCGTTCCTAAACGAAAGACGCTTCGTGGTTCGCCAAGGAAAAAATTTCTCCTCATAATGACCAATCAGAGCCGCCCTCAAGCTTCGTATTGGCTCCCGTAGCCAATTGGCTGACCTGAAACTCAAGTACTCAGGATCACGTTCCAGCCAATGAACCTGCCTCCTCATTATGCCTCACTGGATTGGACCCTAAAACATCATGTGACTACTGTGTTCTCTCTGGATGCTTCCACTACTGCTGACAACGCCACGAAGTGTACCCTTCACGGTAGCTCATGGTTACCCCGTTCTCCTTTGTCACCACTTCTCTACTCTCGCGGATCGCCATCTTACTGATCCAACTTTTTTTTCTTGTCTTGTCTATTTTGTTGCCTATTTTCATTCATTACATCTTTCTTTGCCGACTGATGGCGGCTAAGTGAAATACCTCACTCTACCACCTCGATTCTTCTTATCATCCTTTTGTTGTTCCAGACATTCTTTTATCTGATGCAGAGTAAAAGCGCGCTCTCTTTCTATTCGACACAAGTCAAGGCGGATATCCATCTCCAGAGATAGAAATCAAATGCCGTTTGTGGCAGTAATTTTAAATGAGCTGGTAACATGCGCTTCGCGGGATAATTCATCAATAATTCAATATTGGTTGGCAAAAGGCGCAGTACACCAGCAGGCAAATCGCTGAGTCAACTCAGTGATAAAGAGATAGTTTGAGTATGATAAGAGAGACAGGATGGCTGGATGACGTTGCATTTGATAAGAGTTAGAAATTAGAATATCCTTTAAGCATTTTTCAGCCATAACATTCTTAATCATTATCTTAATGAATTTATAGGATATTTATCCTCTGTAAATTATATTTTCCTCCATATTCTGAATATTTTATCCTATAATTCTTGATTCCCATTCTTTATTCAATTTTATTTCACCATTTTAATGTTTTCGTCAATTTTTAACCTTTGTAAATTTCATCATATTCTACGTTTTAACTTATTCTTATATTTTTTGACCATGTGCACAACTATAATTTTTTATATTATTTAATTTTAGATGTAAATTTTAGTCTCATTCACACTTCTATGTTTCCTAGTTGCCCATGGTCGGAAAATACAAGAAATAATTATAGGTTGGAATATAAGAAATAATTCTAGGGTCGAAAAATAAAAGAAATACTTTTAACTTATTTCTTAAATTTTGCGAGCCAAACTATTCATACACATGGCTTTAATTAATGACAGTATTTAATTTTAGATGTAATTTGTAATTTCATACGCATTTTTATCCTTCCTAGTTTCAAATGTGTTCTTAATTTAAATTTTTTATTATACCGTACATATTCGCGTATGTCTTCTCCTTTTCCTACTGATTTTACCGCTAAAAAGCAACGGGAAAGTACGCTGCGTATACTGCTTCTAAACAGACAGCTTAAATGATAAACATAGTACATTAATAAGGACACATAAAGACACGCTAATATTATGATATTATATATTTCGAAGGACTTAACGGCTTCAGCAATATTCTTTTTACTCATACGGAATAATTTCTTATTTGTGCACACGTTTTACATTATTACCATAAATCCGAAGTTTCTAAATCATATGCTGAAAAACCTGGTGGTGGAAAAATACACGAAGGGAGAATATATGCGAGTAAATATAGTATTTTTTGTTCATAACGACTCATTTCAATCCTATAATAATCGCATTTAACGTAGCTAATTTTGCTCTTTTACTTAACTTATGTAGTTTTGATTTCTTCCATATGTTTAGCACTTCGATTTCGTTACGTAGTCCAATATTTTCAAATCAGATAGTTCATTTTACACTTATAACTGTCAATTACTATTCTACGTTCCCAAAAGCATTCAAGGTCGGCCAGGTCGTATTATTCCTAAAACAGGATCGCGATCCTTCAGATCCATCCTCGTACCGACCGATCTGCTTACTTTCGGCTCTCGGAAAAGTATATGAGAAGCTTCTAATGAATCGCTTACGACACCACTTAGAAAGAGGCCAACATCTACACCCCAAGCAATATGGATTTCGAACAGGGTCATCAACACTGCATGCACTCCACGATATACATTCAGCTATACACGATAATCGCAACCACGGCTATCATACTGCACTAATCAATATAGACCTGAAAAGTGCATTTGATATGCTGTGGTGGCCCTCAATTTTAGAAGCACTCAGAACAGTTCAATGTCCACGCAATATTTCCTTACTTTGCGACATTACCTAACGGACCGTTGCCTTCTAATAGTGCACGACAGTGGGATTATCAAGCGTACCCAAACCAGAGGATGTCCACAGGGGTCGTGACCCCCATTTTGAACACTCATCATCCTACATCTGAACACCCGTGAAGAACATTTGCATCCGCTTAGCGAAGGAGCCCAAGTTGGTTGGGACGAATCAAAGACAAACCTTCACAAAGGTTTAACTAGAGGACTTGTAAGGATCTTAAGTTTTACTAACGTTTATTTTATTTTAAATCTTTACTATCACTTCTTATTTTCTACTTCCGGCCAGAATTATAAGCGTGAAGGAGTTTATGCAAAGTTGTCTGGCGAACGCCAAGTATTTAAGTGTGGCCTTTTTGCCAAGCAGAAGAGAGGAAGCCGTGAGTTCGAAGCAGGCCGCTTACCTTAGAAGTTACGCAGTTGCTACTTTGCCTTCCAGGCCAGAGGTTTTAATCCTCTTGATAAATTAAACGTATTGTAGTGTTCACAGTCTCTGTGCTACATACGCTTCCTGTTATTATAAGGCCAATCTTATTCTAAAGTTAAATTAGAGTTTAGTTTTATTTT